GGCATGCACGACCATGAGTACACGCCCCCCGCCCCCCGGCGTTTGCCATCGGGGTTGGGTTTTCGTCGCTTGGCAACGACGTTGAAAAACAAGCTGCCCCCCCCGGTGTTTGCCATCGCGGTCGGGTTTTCGTCGCTTGGCACTGACGTTGTGAACAAGCCAATTCACCTCGTGAACTCGGCAACCAGGTTACCGTTTATATTTTTGGCGGTTACCATGAATGGTGGTCGAGAAGATCATGCTGTGCGGGGTAGAGAACCCTTACTCCGCGCAGGGGGGATGATCATACCACGTTGTGTTAAAATGGTCAAGCACCCTCGAGGCAGTTGCACAGTGCTAACAACTGTCTCTGGGAAGTGAAAGCATCGGAAAATGNCAAGATGCCGAACACCCTTGGCAGGATGCAGCGCACCCTTCATGTGACTCCGCGAGTACCTCACGGCGCTTCGCGCTTGGTGATGTGAGAGTCTGGTCCGGTGAGAACCCGGCGTGCTCCGTCCCGGCTTTGTAGGGATGCGAGATCAATGGTCTAATGAATACGGCATGCACGACTATGAGTACGCCCCCCCCCCCGGTGTTTGCCATCGCGGTTGGGTTTTCGTCGCTTGGTAACGACATTGTTGAACAAGCCCCGCCCTCGGTGTTTACCATCGAGGTTGGGTTTTCGTCTCTTGGTAACAACGGTGTAGAACAAGCCCCCCCCTCGGTGTTTGCCATCGCGGTTGGGTTTTCGTCTCTTGGTAACAACGGTGTAGAACAAGCCCCCCCCTCGGTGTTTGCCATCGCGGTTGGGTTTTCGTCTCTTGGTAACAACGGTGTAGAACAAGCCCCCCCCTCGGTGTTTGCCATCGCGGTTGGGTTTTCGTCTCTTGGTAACAACGGTGTAGAACAAGCCCCCCCCTCGGTGTTTGCCATCGGGATTGGGTTTTCGTCGCTTGGCAACGACGCTGTAAAACAAGTCAATTCACCTCGTAAACTCGGCAACCAGGTAACCGTTTTTCGTTCACCTCTGCTTGGTTTTGGGCGGTAACCATATTGGTGGTCGAGTAGATCATGTTGTGCGGGGTCGAGAACCCTCACTCCGCGCAAGGGCGATGATCGTACCACGTTGTGTTAAATTCGTCAAGCACCCTCGAGGCAGTTGCACAGTGCATATAAATGTCTCTGGAAGTGGAAGCACCAGAGAATAGTTCAGTCGCACGCAGCTGTCATCCGTACGCAAGGAAGTAAGCACAAGCCGCCGAACACCCTTAGCAGGATCCAGCGCACCCTTCAAGCGACTCGCCGAATACCTCACGGCGCTTCGCGCTTGGTGATGTGAGAGCCTGGTCCGGTGAGAACCCGGCGTGCTCCGTCCCGGCTTTGTAGGGATGCGAGGTCAATGGTCTAACGACTACGGCATGCACGACTATGAGTACGCGCCCCCCCCGGCGTTTGCCATCGGGGTGGGGGTTTCGTCGCTTGGCAACGACGTTGTGAAACAAGCCCCCCCAACGGTCCCGCTCTAAGCAGGTGTCGTCCTCTCACACCACGTCCTCGAAGCTGGGCACATCTGTGGGGCCAGCGGGCACTTCGGGGGCGTTCTCGGGGGTAGGCTTAGGTGGACAAAACTGGTCCCGAGCGGAGGGGGCTTGCAACCTGGGGTGCGTGTGGTTCAATCGAGAGGAAAGGCACCAGGGTGCTGCTGGCACAGGCCTAAAGCCTCTGCTGGAGCTGGAATCGAACACGCTAGCCTTCCCCCTAAAGAAGTCTGCTCCCACAATGAGCCCGTATGGCAACCCTGCTGCCGCGTGCATGCCTCTTACTCGCGCATCGCCGTCCGGCAGTGCTACGGATCCTAGGATACACATCGGAGGGGTATCACTGGCACGAGGGTTGGCAGCTTCGAGCTCCCCTGCACCTGATCGTTTGGAGAGGACATCGTTGCTAGTGCGAAACAGACGAAAGAAGAAATAGTGTGAGATTTAATGCAAAAGAAGTAGATTGAATGCAAGGTCAGCAAGCACGTGGTAAACAATAATGCGCGCATGCACGACGAGGAAATATAAGGGAATAGCAGTTGCAATGATCGCAAGGGGTAAAAGTTATTGAAAAAAGAACAAAAAATGGAAAAATAGTGCGAAATACTGGTCCAACTATAAATATAAATGGATACCCCCTATGCGGCAGAAAGGGAAGCGCTTGCGCACAGAAACAGCGAGTGTCGCGAGGCGTAAATATATTGAATGCAGAAACGCGACGAAATATCACGAAACAGTGGGGTGCTCCCAGCGCGCCATAGAAACGATGGGCTCAGGCGACAGCAGTAGGTGGGATGATGCGGTCGAACAAAGAGAGAGGTGTCTGTATCATACAGAGCGAGTAGTATTTCGTTGCAATAATGAGGACGGCAGCCCCATTCTTCGTACGGCATACCCACCCAACAAGAGAAATAAAATAACTTCACATGAAAAAAAACAATTTAAAACGAACCACAAGCGAGCAGAACTCGGGACGCCTTTAATGGAGACATGATCGAGCGTCAGGCGCCGCGTTACCAGAAGGTAGGGTGGGAAAGAGAGGTTAGATATGAGAGGCCCAACACACACCAAAACAGCTCTCTGAAACCACAGTGGTCAACAGGTCACTGCCAAATGTGAGACTAGTCCAGGGAGGAGAGGTCACGAGGATGATCCCAAACAAGCACAAGGTTCAAACACTAGCAAGCAGCTCGACTCGGGGTCTTCGGTCTTACGCACATGTTCACACCATCATCATCGTTTCTGGCTGCCGCACGGGTGAGTCTACTGCTGTGGAGCCGCAAGTGCGAGAGACACGACCCATCAATGAACACTCAATCCGATCAACCTGGTAGTTCAGCTGTCCAGTGGCAACCAGCTATCCACGCGGGTACAGAAACAGCTATTGCGGTGGCGCCAACGGGCAGAGGAAAAATACAAGAAAACCGAGCTCTCTACCTTCCCCTACAAAAAAAGTATGCAGAGGCGCATGGACGCATACACAAGTCAGCCATGAACAGTGTAAAACGCACGCCAAATAAACGCAGGAACCACAAGTACTGTAGGCCAAGGTATATGATCGGTGTATGCGCGTTCGGCGGACGGCTGCAGCGCAGGGGAACACAAGGCAGAAGCAAAGGGTGTGTTCACTCCGGAGCGCGCTGATTGAGACAAGCCCCCGGCCGTTGAAAGGCGAGCGCATGACAGGGTAGAAAGAACAAAGCGCCAAAACGTGCAAGCGAGAGGAAAAAAGAAACAAAGGGACGCGAAAGGGCCTACAAGCCACACGGCTACAGCATGACGAGCGCATCTTTCTACGGCTCGTCAACAGCAACGACACGGAAGGACACCACATAACGGAAAGAGAGGCTAGGGATAGGGGCGGGTCCTATGTCAATGTGGGTCGCTGTGGTCTCTAGTAGTTCAAGTGGCAGGACCCTGGGTGTCGAGAGGAATCCTCCAGAGAGGAATGTACATGGGACCCCAGCCTATAAGCACTGGTACCGACCTGATGTTAGCAGCCTCTCGATCGGTACCCAGTTCGGTAGATGAGCCGGAACAGCGGTAGTATGAGCCTCGAAGGTGGCTTGTGAGAAAGAGTAGAAGGTCTCCGGTCGTGGATACAATTGTACGATATTCGCTTGTTGGTTATTGCTAACTCAGGGCAAGCCAGGAGAAGAGGAGTGAAGTGAAGTGAGGAAAGGGGGCTGAGCAACCTAGCCTATAGACGGGGCCCGGCAAACCGGACCTTTCTCCTAGTACCTTTTGGGAATAACGCACTCTCCCAAAGATGCAACTCCTATCAACCGTAATAATGTAACCGTAGCACACTCGTTGATCGACTTCATAAGTCGCGAGGGAAGGAATTGCTGTACACTTCTCGCGATAAAAATATCGCAGGCAGGAACCACAGGAGGGGGTCCAACCCCCCGCCACCTGTCTGACCCCGGTTGGGTCGTCTAGCTAGTAGAAGTGGAGGATAGGGGCCAGAGGGGCAGACGACAGAATCCAATGATGGGAGAAAAAAAACAACTCGTGCCAGACGAACCGAAGAGAAAGTCACAATACCATCCACGCAATTCAGATCACTCACCGAATCTCCGAAGAAACCAAGTCGAAATTCACTGTTCCCCCGCAATCCAGTCTACCAATTGCAATCTCCGTAGATCCATGTCCCATATTCAACCACCTTCATTCAGATGCCTGGTCGGCGGGAACCCGGCACGGAACCCTCCGGCGTTGTAGGCGGGTGTGGGAAGCGTTCCCCGTTCTCCTTTTATTTTATTTTGATCGGTCTCCTCGACGCTCTTTCTCGTTTGGTGCGGTAGCCGGTCTTTCTATCATTTTGTTTCTCTTCCGAGTGGTTTTTGTACCCTATTTTTTTCTGTTTCTTCGTGGGGTCGTGTATGCCGGGTTTCGAGACCACGGGCTCCCAATCTTTGTTTTTTAGAGCAAATGTGAGAAACAACAACAACAACAACAACTTCGTCGTATCGAGGTCTACAAAAGGGCTGGCGAGAGTGATGACCATCATCGTTGAGGTGTTCGGGGACTTCGGGCTGACGGTGTCGGAGAAGAAGACGGAGACCCTCCTGATGCGCGCGAAGGACAAGCCGATTACAACATCACAGCCCCCACGCCTCCACCGCTGACCGTCGAAGCCGCGGGGCAAAAATACGCCCAGAAGACCGAGTTCCGGTACCTCGGTGGCCTCGTCAACGAACATGGCGACCTCACCCCGGAGATCAACCACAGGAGCAGAGGAGCGTGGGCGTACCTCAGGCGATATGGCCGGCAGCTCTTGGACAGACCGAAAGCGCCATTCCGACTCAAGATCCGCCTGCTCCAGGCGGAGGCGATGGAGGCACTGCTGTACGGCTGCATGACATGGTCACCACTCAGCGGCCACTATCAGATGCTGCGGTCGATATACCACCGATTGCTCCTTCGAGTTATCGGATACAAGCGCAAGAAAGACACCTACCGGCAGCTCTCTTACGTCCAGACGCTGAAGAGGGTCGAATGCCAGAGCGTTGAAGCCACGATCCGACAACGACGCCTATACGGTTCGCGGGAGCATTGGCAAGGCAGCCGGACGGGCGACTCCCGAAACGACTGATGTTCGGCGAACTGGCAGAGGGGGAGAAGCGACGTAGGGGAGGACAGGAGCAGAACTGGCCGAAGTTTGTGCTCAACGATCTGAAGGCATTCGGGGTCGACCACGGATCTACGAAAACCGATCCAGGTTGTCTCGGAATCCCGCTGCCGAAAGACAAGGCTCCGAAGTAAAAGTGGACGGAAGCCGCGAAGGTAGGGCGGTGCTGTAGGGAGCTGAGGAGTTCATGACCTCCTGGCACGAGGAGGAAGAGGCCAGCCGACAACGGGCGCTCTAATGAAACCACAAGCCAACAACCAATAATGTGGCTAGGCTTGTGCTCCGTAGGCGTTAATTGTTTTTCGCCTTTTCATGGCGTTTAAAAAAAAAATACCTGGAAGACTAGACTAGTCTAGAAGGTTGCATGCTTAAAAAACGTTTTTTAGGCGATTAGACTAGTGGGGTAACTAGAAACGGGTACACCGGATAGATCATCACCATTCATTTCAGGGTACACTTGGAAATCAAGACGACACCAATCTCCGACAGCATCCGCCGTAGATCGCGGCGAAACCAATCAACCGCTGTCTGTGTCCTGTGTGTCCTGTGCCTCGGAAGCATGATGCACGAGGCAGGTCGTGCCTGTTTTTCGCTCTCTCTGTGCCTCTCTCTTTCTCTGTGTTTTTACTGATCAGTACCACACCGAAGTTCTCGCGCGTCAAGTGAGTCCTACCCTCTGTTGAGAAGGGCCGGTATCCTTTGGAGGCGGTGCCCATGAACGATGAACAAGCGAGCGTTGTTGGTGGTTTGGTTGTGATGGTGATGAATGTGTGGTACACGGTATGTGCGGCATGCGTTTTTTACGGCGGGTTTTATGCTAGAGCGTCGGGCGCCGGGATGATATGGCCATTGCTGGGTACAATATTGACCTCTTCTGGGTACACCAGTAACCAATATCGGTCACACCAGAGGGTCCTAATTCCAGCGGAAGTTGTTCCCGATGGAGGCTTATTAAGAAATGGGTACAGTACTCTCCCTTCTTCCCCTCGCTCCTCGACAAGCTTTTGCTTAGACATGGGTTGTAGTGAAGGGTGGGGTCTTTCTGGCGAGCAGGGCTAGACTCACCCTCAAGGGATGACCGAAACCTTCTTGCTGCTGCGCATATCCGCCGCGAGGCATGCGCGTGGTGGTGTAGTTGGGTCGGCACTGATGGGGTCAGGCGAAAAAATGTAGATGCGCGGGCCTCTGGCCGTCGGCGTAGGCAGCGATGCCCATCTC